GCGCATGGGGAATATATACGCCACGAGTAACATGTCCCACAGTGTGCATGGCGTATATATACACCATACCTGGTTGATGGGGTTCTGGGAGTTCTTCTACTGACTTGTGAGAGTTTGGTCCATTAGGCTGTTGCTTGGAGCGGCCCGCAGGTCCACATACCCACCACAGCCCGATTGGTCTGGCACTCCTTGGAGGAATAAATCTAGTTTCCTCTTGAAGATGTCCACGGTTGAATCTTGAGTATCTTGAGATGATTTCGGGGCTTTTTTAGTGTCCCCGCGGCCCGGTCCTCGACCAGGCCTCCACCCCCAGGAAGCAGCCCGTGACAGCTGACTAACACCCAGGTACCTATTTTACTGCTAGGTAACAGGGGCATAGGGTGAAAGAAACTCTGCCCATTGTTTCTCGCCGGCGCCTGGGATCGAACCCAGGTCCACAGGATCACAAGTCCAGCGTGCTGTCCGCTCGGCCGACCGGCTCCCTAAACGACCGGTTGTTCCGGCAATATTTCTTATGCTTACTGGGAGGACGTTGAACAACCGCGGACCTCTGATGTTTATACAGTGTTCTCTGATTGTGCCTATGGCACCTCTGCTCTTCACTGGTTCTATTCTACATTTTCTTCCATAGGGTGCCAGGCACGATTCAAATGACCCACGGCTACACGGGGTTCACATTAGCTTCCTCAGGGCTCTTGTAAACAGACGCCATTTTAAAAAAAATCTGTGGGCAATATTCTCTGGTGTGAGAGCCACAGTACTGTTGGAGCCACCAAGGCTGGCGCACGCAGCACGAGCGAACAGCATTGCTGTTAGCTTGTGACCACAGCATCGCCAAAAAATGTCAAAATATATATATAACTGCTATTATTTAGTGATGACAATATTACAGATGACTCCTGACTGTGATATAAATAACCAGGGTTGTGATAATAGCAGGATTGTTGTAATAATTAGTGCTCGGGGAGGAGTGATGCTGAGGGACGGAGGGAGATAGCATTGTTTACTGACTGTGTGGCCACCTGTTATTGTCTGCAGTCACCATACCAGCTCAGTGGTTCTCTATGGTGAACACAAATGTAGATACTTATATATAATGTGTGTATTAGTGTAATAACAGCAAAAGGATTATGTTGGGAGGAGCCATTTGGGTGACGGAGGTGACGTCGTCTGCATGATTTGTCTAGCTGTTTAGAGGGTGGCCACTATGCTCTTTGGGCACTCTACAAGCTTAGGTGTACAGTTACGGTGCATACAACATGTAGATACTTATATATAATGTGTGTATATAGTGTAATAACACTGCAAACAGTATTGTTGGGGGAGAAATTTTAGTGCGTGTGAACTTGAATGAGTGCGGGAGGCAGCCGCCAGCTGACTGTGTGTAGCGACGACTCGAGCACGACTAGTGCTGAAGAGGCAGCCGCCAGCTGACTGTGTGTAGCGACGACTCGAGCACGACTAGTGCTGAACTAACCCTATCAGCTTAAGTTGTACAGTTGTGGTGAACAAAACATGTAGATACTTATATATAACGTATGTATATTGTAAATAAAATAAACAGGATGGTGGGAGGAGAAAGTGGGCGAGTGAGGCGTTGTTTAGGGATTGGCAACGAGTGGCTGGCTGGTGTGTGGCGGTCACTCCTCGTTGCTTATCGACTCTCAATACCAAATTAGTGGATCATTATGGTGAACAAAACATGCAAATACTTGTATATAACCTGTGTATAGTGTAATAACAGCAAAACTATTTGTTTATTGTTTTATGAACATAATTGAATCACTAATATGCACCACATGCTTTTGAGTATAGTGATTATTCACCACTTTTATTATATAAATATCACAACTCACACTATTGAATAATATTGCTGCAAAAAAACTAAGAAAAAATCAAACATCGAAATAATTAAGTTAATAATATCTTTGTGGCAACTCCCACCTGTCAGTTTGGGTGATGCTGACTGGCTCTGACAACTGATCTGTCAACACCCACTTTTTGCCAGACTTCCTTGGTCTATTGCGCCTAAAACATGTCGCCTACAATTATTTTTTTTTTAATTTTTCCTGTGCTCAGGGAACACAAATTAACATTTTCATAAGACGAAATAATTTTTTAGAATTTGTTTTTCTTGTGCACAGGGGTGTAAATCACCTCAGGACCCCTAGCAGCTTAAGGGTTAAGTTAAGGGCCCTAAGAGCATCAAACTCGGAGGTAAGGTAGGTATGGGGTGACCAGGATAAAGGAGTGTCAAAGATTAACCTCAAAAATTTAGCAAAATCTTTATATATCAAAATAAGCGCCTTTAGAATGCGCACAATTTGATACCAAAATGAAAGATGTAACATGAAACTTGATGTCCGAACACTTACATGATTATAAATAGGCTTTTGGTCAAAATTTTAAAATATTTGTTAAAATTCTATTTATTATGCTATTATGTTGGGACTAGTTTTAAAATGCGCGCCTTTACGTCGTGAACAATTTGATACCCAAATGAAAGATGTAACAAAAATTTATGTCAGAACACTGGAAAGATATAAATAATTTTGTAATGATGAGCTTCCAGAATTAAAATATTAAAATTCCAGTTATTGCTCTATTATTATGGGACTAGTTTTAAAATACGTGCCTTTCTATTGCGAACAATTTGATACCAAAATGAAAGACGTAACACGAAAATTGATGTTATCAAACTGAACGAGTATACACATTAGGTTGCAGTGTACAAATTGGTGCTCGTTCACAGGTAACTTTAGGCTTTTCTGCGGGGAGGCACTCCAAACTTTTGTACATTATATTCATACACATCTGTAGGAAATTTAATTGTGAACACAATGATATCAAAACGAGCAATGTAGCACGAGAATTAAGGTGAGAAAAATGGAATGCGTATGCACATTTTACTAATTTTGTGCGCTCACAGGTAACTTTTGCCAACTTTAGGCTTTGCTGTTGGGAGTCATGCCAGGCTTTTGGACATTATATTTATACACACCTGTAGGGAATTTAATTGCGAACACGATGATACCAAAATGAGTGACGTAGCACGAGAATTAAGGTGAGAAAGCCGAAACGAGTACACACATTTAGGTGACACCCGCGCTTGCCCGCATGCTCGTCCGCACGCCGGGTGCATGACCCCTAAGTTGACCGCACGCCTGCCCGGTGACAGTGTTAAGTATGCAGCTAAACCACCGCACCGTGTCGAGCGCCTTGTTGCACTAGATCAAGGTGTGCAGAGCGCCATTTGGCATTTTTAGGTATAGGGAGTAATATAGGTACACGGGGCTCACATCTCGTGTCTCAGGACTCCTGTAAAGACTTTAATTGTGGGTAACATTCCCAGGTGTGAGAGCCTCAGTACTAAGTAAGCAACCAAGGCTGGTGCACTTATGATGAACTAACAGCAATGCTGTTCGGCTGGTAGCCACAGCATCGTCTAAAAATTTCAAAATACATATACAGCTTATTATTTAGCAATGATGGTATTACAGAAGACCCCGACTTATAAAAATTACCAGGATTCTGATAATGGCAGGATTGTGGTGATTAGTAGTGTGTAAAGTGTGATGGGAGGAGTAATCTAGGTGAGGGAGGAACAGGTGGCATAGTCTGCTGACTCTACAGCAACCTGTTATTGTCTGGACTCGCCATATCAGCTTAGTGGTTCACTATGGTGAACACAAATGTAGATACTTGTATATAATGTGAATATTGTAATAACAGCAAAAGGTACATGTTGGGAGGAGCCATTCTGGCGAGGGAGGTGGCTTCGTCTGCTGGCTGGTGTGTGACTTGCTGTGTTAGTGTAATAACAGCAAAAACAGTTTGATTGATCGTAGAATATAATATACATGTCGCATTTCAGCCCAATAATTGACCACAGCGATGCTCTACACACGGACCTATATAAATTCCACAAATTACACTTATTATATTACAGCAAAAGAAAAAAAAAAGAATAAGAATCAAAATAATTATTAAAAAATTATATTCGCAGAAACTGCCGCCTCAAAGGGTGGCGGGGTCGAGTGACCCCCGGTGCTTCATCACTCTGCGCTCATAATTTGCTCAAGTTCTTAGCTCCGCCACAGCTAAAGTACGTCACATACAATATTTTATTTTAATTTCCCATGATCAAGAGACCATTTTAACTACTGTATACAAGAGAAAAAAAAATCAAATTTATTTTGGCACACCACAGGAATGTCATTTTAAGGCTGTGCAGCACAGTGGTTAAAAGGTAGTGATTGCTACTGATCACAGAAGGAATCTACTGTAGTGATCACAGACCTTGTACGCACTAAAACCAATATTCTTGCTGAATAAATTTCTAACAATAACTAGCATAATAATGAACACGGGGGAACTAGGGTAAAGATATTATTCAATGAGTAGTTTCAAAATTAGATACGACTAGAAACGGGGTGGTAAGGAGTAACTGCATTACACAACCAACATTAAGTTGGGTGTGACTTAATTCAACCCCCACACTGCGCACATTTAATAATGATATTCCCGTGGTGCACATATATATTTGTTCTAAAAACAGCATTTTTGAAACAAAAAGGTAAAAAGGGTAATAACTCATTCACTGCTGTTAAAATTTCAGTGGCTGATAGTATGACTGCTCTGCACGTGGCCTACAATACTAAGGCCATGGAAGGAAAATGTTGGACTGGATTCTTTAGTTTTTTTTTCCAATATAGGGGATTTGTTACTGGAGGCATAAGTAAATGTGAGCCCCCTTGTATACATGGAAGTTTCAAATCTTATGATATACTAACATCACATATCAGCTGGTGCACCGCCACACCACTTAAATTAATGTCGGCTGGTGCAGTGCAGGGGTTAAACACATTTAGACATACTGTATGCTAAAAACTGTATCTGTACCATGTTAAAAATTATATTAGACATACCCTTAACCATTGTTAATATAAACAAATAACAAGGACAAATTTAAAAAGGACAGTATCGAGCAAGTAACATACCAGAGTCACCATTGGCAACACCATTGGTCTCTTCACTATGTCCATTCGTTAGGGCAGAGTTAGCAGCTTCCTGAGAACAAAGTTGCAATCATTTTTTATTTACATTCCAGGTATATACATTCCATTACAAATAAATAAATTCCAAATACATTACATTTCAAATAAAATTAAAAAAAATTTAAAACCATTAAATTTAATACAAAAACAAAACTTGATCACTAACCTGCTCAGCATCACCATTTGTCTCCATGGCCTCCACAGTCTCATCTTTCTTGTCCTTTGGCAGCTCTGCTTTCTCTTCCTTCTTTGACACAACTTTTGTTTCTTCCTTCTCGGCTGTTACTTCCATACTTTTCTCCTCTGCAGTCTTGTCTTCCTTAGAGTCTTCACTGTTATTTTTGGCATCCTTCGACTCTTCTGTCTTCTCCGTAGTGTTTGCCTTGTCGGCATCAGCCTTACCAGACTTCTCCGCTGCATCGTCCTTCTCTGTCTTTTCCACCGTGTCAGACTTTTCCGCCTTGTCAACCTCGCTGACTTTTTCAACCTTGTCAGCCTTCTCTGCTTCATCGGCTTTCTTAGTCTCGTCAGCCTTTTCAGCCTTGTCTTCTGTATCCATCTTTTCCTCCAAGTCTGTCTTGTCGGTCTTCTCTGCCTTTTCGGTCTTTTCTGCTTCCTTGGTCTTTTCTGCCTCCTTAGTCTTTTCCGCATCCTTGGTCTTTTCCGCATCCTTGGTCTTGTCAGCCTCCATGGTCTTGTCAGCCTCCATGGTCTCTTCCGCTTCCTTGGTCTTTTCCGCTTCCTTGGTCTTGTCAGCCTCCTTGGTCTTGTCAGTCTTGTCTAGTGTATCCATCTTTTCCTCTTTGTCTGTCGCGTCGGTCTTTTCTGTCGCGTCGGTCTTTTCTGTCGCGTCGGTCTTTTCTGTCGCGTCGGTCTTTTCTGTCGCGTCGGTCTTTTCTGTTGTGTCGGTCTTTTCTGTTGTATCGGTCTTTTCTGTTGTATCGGTCTTTTCTGTTGTATCGGTCTTTTCTGTTGTATCGGTCTTTTCTTTTGCATCGGTCTTTTCTTTTGCATCGGTCTTTTCTGTCGCGTCTGTCTTTTCTGCCGTGTCTTCTGTATCCATCTTCTCAGTGTCCACCTTGTCCGCTTTGTCTGCCTCGTTTGCCTTGTCTGTCTTTTCTGCCACCTTTTCCTCGGAGTCTGCTTTGTCTGTCTTTCCTACAGTTTCCTTAGGTTTCTCTTCTTTCTTACTAGTTTCTTCAGACTTTTCTGCATTATCAACGTCTTTTGCTTTTTCTACCGACTCCTCCATCTTTTCTTCAATTTTGTCTGCATCGCTTTTAGACTTTTCATTTTCTTTCTCATCTTTTTTTTCAGTGGACTCTATCTTTGTTTCTGTCTTATTGGATTCCAAAGATTCTTCTTTATCATTACTGGCTTCAACCTTGGGGTCTTCTTTTACATTCTTAACGGGGGACTTTTCCTCTCCCTTTGTCGTCTTCTCAGAAACTTCAGCTTCTGGGGCAGCACTGTGGACAACATTATAATTATAATACTAGGAATGGATGTACTCAAAACTACATGAAAAAAGTATACATTTGGCCTGTCATTGAGTAGCAATGCAATACAGTGTAGTATATGAAAGTGAAGAAAAAGGTAAGGTTAGGTTAGGTTAGGTTAGGTAAGGTTAGGTTAGGTTAGGTTAGGTAAGGTAAGGTAAGGTAAGGTAAGGTTAGGTTAGGTTAGGTTAGGTTAGACCCAATACTTGTGTAAGTGACAAGTAGTGGCTCATACCCAGTGGGGGGGGGGGGTCACTGGGAAGAGGCAGGGGTACTTGTCACTGTTAATCATCGTGATTTAAAGATTAAAGGCATCAGAAAAAAGGTTGTATACAAGTGCATTAAAGAGGGAATATAAAGCAATGTCAGACAAGCAAAAACAGATTTTTAAAAAGTTACATATAACAGGTTAAGCAAAGAAATTCTTATAGGATTTTTCATAGGTATCAAGATTAAGAGCTGAATTGATTAGGTAAAGTAATTGATAATGAGGAAATAGGTGATAAGTTAACCAAGTACTTTGTATATACCAGACCATTATATTATGCCTGCAGCTGAACAAATCTATTAGGTGGTGAAGAGATCAAATTAACAAGTTTAATACTTCAACAGGGCAATTTATAAATGAATGGAAAAATAAAAATCCAACAAATCCCCAAAACCAGCTTGCGAACCTAGCAAATTTGGTCATTAGTTGGATTAGGGCCATGGTTATTTCATAGAAAGCTGTGTGTTTGCATAATTCAAGTGGCAACCCATTTTAAGTCAAGTGCCTCAGGGATCTCCTGGGACATCTGTTGTTTACTATACATACTTTTGATAGTTACCATAAAAGATAATTGACATTCAGTACCTTCCTCCTGGGTAAAAGTGACCAAGTCCATTTGGGAATAAAGTATGAAATGTGTTATAATCTGGAAGAAACTGAGGAAGTTGAAGCAGTTGATAAACCTCATTTCAGGAGAGGTCATTATGGGGGAACTTAGGAATTTGACTGGAAAGGCTTGCTGATAGGCAAGGAAGTAAATGAGATGTCAAATTTTGTGGAATCTATGGATAAAGGCACACAAAAATTTATACCAAAGCAGAGATGTAAAACTAGGAAACAGGATTGGTTCAACAAAAATTGAGAGAGGGCCAGGGACCAAAAGTAAAAAACAGAATCACTATAGGAAGAGGCCAAACCCCCAAACATACCAGGGATACAAAAATGCAAGCAACAACTACATGGCAGTGAGAAGAGGCAATATAATCAATATACAAAATAGTAATAGGAATCGATAAAATTGATAGGTAAGAATTCCTGTGACCTGGAACTTCAAGAACAAGAGGTCATAGATATAAACTAACTAAACAAAGCTGCCAAAGAAATGCAAGAAAATTCCCTTTTTGTAAGCAGAATGGTAGACGGTTGGGACAAGTTAGGGGAGAAGGTGGTGGAGGCCTAATTCACTAATTTCAAAGCGTTAGATGACAGAGTGCTGGGAAGACGGGACACCACGAGCGTAGCTCTCATCCTGTAACTACACTTAGGTAATTATACACAACATTTCGATTCAGGACTGAACAGCAATATTTGCAAATTTGCAATACAAATAAGAAGTAAATCAGATAAATAGGAAGAAACAAATTTAAAAAATGAACAAAATATTGGCAGATGCAGTTTAAGACTGAAAAAATATAGGGTTGTGAGCCCAGGAATAAGTTACCCAGATATCAGCTGGACAATGATGAAATTAAAAAACGATGGAAAAGTAACTGGGAGGCATGATTACTAGGGATATTTTAAGCCAAAATATCAATGCATAAATGTGCAGAATAAAGCAAATAGGATTTGTTGTTAATGTTACTTCATGTTGCTCTTTTTAGGCACCACTATTCAGATCATTTTCATTTCTGTATTACAGAATGGACAAATTCACTTGAAGTGTAGAGATGGATGGCAAAGTTAATCCAAGGAATTAGAAACCTTTTATTACATAGATAAAAAAAAGCTAGACTTTCATCCTAGAACATCAAAGTTACGAGTGACTTGATTGAAATATATAAATAAATGAAAGGAAAGGAGAGAGATAGAAACAACAAAAAGGATAGAGAGAAGGCACTTAATTACAGACCAATGTCATTTACACATTCCATGTAGTCATTCAAGGCACTCTGCACATTTGGTAGACTAATACAGCAACATGTGCATCACCAGCAAGGAATCCACACCTAATGAAGCATAAAAGCCAAAATTAAAAAAAAAAAGTTTGCAACAAAATTGGTGCCAGAGCTAAAAGTGTTAAGCTATGAGACTATGCTAATGGAACACTCAGAACCCTAGAGGATAGAAGGAACAGAGGATATGACCACAACAAAACATACTCAAGGTAATGGATAAAATAAACAAGGATAACCACTACAAATTTAAAGTAGGACAAGAGGACACGAAGTTGAAGTGCAAACGAGCCCATGGAATGTAGGGAAATAACCCTATCTTGTTCAAGTAGTCAGTAGAATGCAATCAAGGTAGTTGTGGAAGCCACCTCCAGCCACAACTTTAAGGCCAGTTTTGACAATTTAAATGTCAAAAGTTAAATTGTAATACAACTGTTACAACATAGGTAGTAGACAGGGCATAAAGTTAGACCTCACTCCCCATGTAGACACTTAGTTAAGTACTAGAAAAGTCTTAGACAACAACCCTCTCATTAGAGCAGCCTTCGACAACTGCCACTTCCACACTACAGCATCCTCAGACACAACCAGCTCCACACTAGATTAGTCCAGGGCACAAGAGGGTCATTCTATCTCAAATCAAAATGTCACCTATGGCTCCCACTCGACCCTCTCCAAATGCCATGAAATTTTGTAGTAAGATAGCACTAGACCCCAAATGACACTGCAAAATATTAGAGCTCAATCTGCTTTGGTTCTTAAATAACAGGTCCATATTCAATGGGCTCTCGTCCCGTTAATGTGTAAATACCACAAAAATTACCAACTTTGACCCTTTGTTAAATCACTTCTATTGCCTGTAGGAGTGTGAAATTTGACATACCAGGATAACTTTTGGTGTAGAATAACTTAGTGTATTCAAAAAAGCAGTATGGGTGGCCATTCAGCTATCCATCCATGCTAAAATCACTGCCAAATTTTGTCGTGAGAAATTTGGAGACCACTACCCATCACCAAAAGGTCTAAATGCAACAATGCAACAATGTATAACAAGCACAATATTATGCAGTGATGCAATAGCAACTCTGTTGTATCCATGTGTCCAGAGGTGGCCCACTTGAAAGTTGGCCAAAAGAAAAAAAATTTGTGCAAAACTAGCCAACATTCAAGGTAAAATATCTCAATATGCATCATTCCCAATTTGGTTTTGAATGACACCATTGGATAGAACAGATTTTTCTGTACAAGAGTAACTTTTATTTAGATTGAGATCTGAATTCCTAGTTCAGCCAGAGGACTCAGAAAATGACATACCTTGGTGCGATATCGAAAAAATTAAATTATGATTCTCCATCTTCTTTGTGCACTGATCATGACTTTCTATTCTTTCTGGGACACATTCGACTAAATTCTTCACCCTCAAAAAATTGTACTACCCTTTCCTTCACTTCCTCAGGAACTGACTTGCCCTGCATTTTCTTGGGAATTGCTAGTATTCCCTGTTCTTCTTTCAGCTTCCTAGCTTTGCGAACCATGTATTCTGAAACTTTGAATAGCTCCATTGTCTTTTCGATAGACCAGCTTTGTGGCATGAGGGTTAGGATTTGTATTTTTTCTTGGCGCCTTGCTACATGGAATTTGAACTTCATTTCTTCACTGAGTTTATTGAAGTCTTGACAATTTGTGCACTGTTGGCTAGAGCTTGGTACCAACAGGTTTTGGCAATCAATATTTCCAATTGCAGCAATCTGCTCGGCAATTATTTCCTGTGCTTGGCTAATCTTGCACTTTGCATAACTATGCTTATCCCTTGCACTAACTCATTGATATTAATAGGTGAGATGCCTAATACTGATAAACTTGTGTTTACACTTTCACAGATTTCCATATTATCAGCAGGGCCATCAGAGTCGGTAGAGCTGGACTCACTCACCTGCTTACTGTCAACTTCCTTTCCGCATGATGTGCACAACTTTTGGCCAGGCTTAATACTGACTTTCACCATATCTGACATTTTCTCTGCAGTAGCTACTGTGGTTGTTCGCAAATATTTTTGCTTTACATAGCATTTCTTCTTGAAGGAATTGCAGCAAGTTTTTTGCAAAAAAATTCAAATTTTGTCATCAGCAAAGCTTCATGATACAAGATTCTCAATCCAAGTTCAGTTCACTTCGCTTTGCTATCAGTTTTTGATCTTCTGCAGTACAGTATACTGCTTTAGAAACTTCCAAGCCTTTCTTGGGAGTGTAGGTTGTCAAGTGACATTCAGACAAGCCATGCTCATGGCTAGCAATAACACATGGCAATAAACCAATGGAATCCCGATTCATGACATTTGTAATCGAATATTTAACTGACTGAATACAGTAATTTCAAGTGAGACCTGTAATACATTAATATTAATATTGCTTTTAATTTATTTGTGTATTTATTGCAAGTAAATACACAAATAAGTAAACAACAATGTTTGACCTACTGACACGATACTACAAAGATGTATATATATATATATGATATATATATGATATATATATATATATGGTATATATGATATATATATAGAACAGGAACCTAAAATAGCACTGATTGTTTAATAATAATTCTGAATCCCACCCTAAAATGTTCTACCCAATGAAGCTTAAAAATTTTCCAATCAGTTTGGATATCAATTTGCTAGCAGTCATGATCAGTGCACAAAGAAGACAGAGAATCATAATTTGATTTTTTCAATATCGCACCAAGGTATGTCATTTTCAGAGTCCTCTGGCTGAACGAGGAATTCAGATCCCAACCTAAATAAATGTTACTCT